CCGCGTCGGCGGCCCGGGCTGCGGAATGCGTCGGCTCCACGCCGTGCTTGCTAGAAGCGCTGAGCAGCGAGTGCAGGCAGTCGTTGACCCTGCGCGTTTCCGCCAGGCACCTTCCGACCTCGTTGATGACTTCGAGCGTCGACGTGCCGAGCGTTCGGTGATCCAGCTTGCAGGCGCGCTGCTTTTGCTGGTTCGGCGCGGCGGCGGTGCGGTGTGCGGGCAAGTTGTGCTGCACCGCGGGCGGCTGCGCCGAAGCGCCCGACTCGAGGCAGGAATTGCGGCTCAAGAATAGCGCAGTCGGAGAGCCTGTGGCGACGTCGCACTGCGAAGTCGACGCTGCGCTGCTGGCAGCGTTGCTGCATGCAAAGTGCTTGCTTTGGTACGCGTCGTCGTCCACCAAGCGCTGGATCTCGAGAGAAGTGCCGTTCAACGGCTTGAACGTTTGCGTCGCGCGCGCCGCCGTGGTCATCAGCAAGTCTCTCCGCTCGGAAAACAGTTTTTTCAGTGTCTTCACGTCGAACATGGAGAACGATTGCTGCATGATGTGGCTGTAGATCGCCTTGCGCCGCAATTCTTGCGCAAAGTCGAGCTGCGCAAGCGTGTGCGGCAGCAGCTTCTCGAAGTGACACTGTTCGAGCGAAATTTTGCCGAGCAGCAGCCGTTTGCAGACGACGCAGAGCAGCTCGAACAGTTGCACACACGGCAGCAATTCGTTCTCGTCGCACAGCGCGGTCTCTCGGCACAGCACGACAGACTTGAAGTCTTGGTAGTCGGCAACAGGGCGCGCGAGCGCAGCCGCGCGGCAGACTTCCAGGTTTTGCAGAATCAGCTGCGCGCTCTTAGTGAGCTGCTCAAGAGTGGCGACGCAGCGGAAAAAGTCGAAGCGCAGCGGTAGTGAGAAGTGCATCGAAGACTCGATCCAGCGCGCGGTCACGAACGCCGACACCGAGGGCAGCAGAGACAAGAAGTAGAGCACGATGCTCTGCGTGTGCACGAGCTGCACAAAGCGCTCCTCGCTACTCGAGCGAAACGAAGGCTGCAGCGCGGGGTACCAGTCCGCGTGCGTAAGCGAGTTTGCAGCGCCACGCGGCGCCGAGCGCGCGCTCGATTCGAGTGCAGTTCCTGCGCGAAAGTCGTAGGCGGCGTCAAGCGCGGAACTAACCACCGAGCCGACCGCCGAGCCTTCGCCCAAGTTGTCGAGCAAGCCTGCTGCGTTCCGCGCGGCGCCGCGCGGCGACTCGCGCTTCGCGGCGTCGCAAGGCTGTGAGCAGTCAAGCCCATAGGAGCGGTAGCTTTTGAAGTTGTACGAGTTTCGCCGGTTGAGGAAGAGCGACGTGCAGAAGTCCGCAGAGTCGGAGTTGAAATCGGAAACCATGCCTCGCGACCTGTTCTGCGAGTTAGAGCGGTCGCGTATTTTTGCTGGAGTGTGCACCCTCTTTATACGTGGCCCTTTGAAAGCGAAAGAGCTTTTTTCGGCCGCGCCGGCTTTCGCCGCAGCCGGTGCACCGAAATCCAGCACTCGGTCAGCGACGTGTCGAGCTCCGTCTCTTCGTTGAAACTGAGCCGCGCCTCTTGCGGAGGAATCACGACTCGCTCCGTGTCGCACCCTTTTGAGAGCACGAAGCAATGCGGGCTCTGCCACTCGAGGGAGAGCGGAACGCTCGAGCGCTTGCACACGTAGCACACAATACCGTTCTTGTGCTGCAAGACTTTCGTGAAGCGCAAGTCGCGTACAGTCTCAAACGCCGCGGCGGTAAACGCGTTGTCGAGCGCGAAGTCGGCGCAGGCAGAGTCCGCTGCGCGTTGCTCGGCAGATTCGCGCAAAAAGCGCTGCACGCGGCAGTTATCGCACGATTCCATGTGTACGCCCAGCGCAACTAAACCGAAGACTCGCTCACCAACGATTGGAGCAGTTTCGCGTGCAGATCGAGACTGGCGGACGGCTCTTTTTTCAAAAATTTGCGAAAGGAAATAAGCGAAAGGCCTAAAACGCGCTTCGTGATTCCCTTCCTGGTTTCTGCGTTCGCCGGGGCTTCCGCCGCGAGAACGCGCAACGCTTTCTGCTTTTGAGCAATGCGCATGAAAAATGAAACAGTGGTGGCGTGCTGCACATGTGCCGCGAACGATTTTACGGTTTTGCATGTAAATCAATGGCCGAACTAAAAGTTCACGAGTCGCTGCGCAGCGACCCGATCTTGCGCTACTTCGCGGCGTACGTTTGCCGCGCATGCGCGCTAGCTACGAATTCGCCACGCTGAACTACAACCTGAGCTTCAGCTGCGGAAAAACCGCGGTGTACTACCTCGTGTGGCCGCCGAAGAGCGGGTTGCGGCTCGACCGTCTCTTGAAGCGCGTCCCGGCTTTCGAATTTGCGCAAACGTTCTTGATAGCAGTGCTGAAACGCAGCGAGGTGCGGAGCACGACGCAGCTGCAAATCGCGTGCAGCAACCTGCGCATCGGCTGTCTCTTCGCGCAAAATCTGCTAGAGGCCTGCGTGTACATTCGCGAAATGCAGAGCGAAAAGAAAGTGCGCCCGACGATTTCCAACGACCCGACCGAGCGCGCGTTGTACTGCCTCACGCTGATCCCGACGATCAGCCGCCGAAACGCGGCGGACCTGCTCAGCAGGTTCGGTTCGCTGCGGCGCGTGCTACTCGCGCCAGAAGCGGAGCTGCGCACAGTCCCCGGGCTGTGGCGCAGCAAGGCACAATTGATTTGCGCCGTTGCTAGCCAACATTTTCGTTCTGACACACTTTAGCAGAGCATGCCGGGACTTCGAGAATTTCGCAATATGAGAAAGACCCCTGATATTGCTGAGTCAAACATCAGCTGCGGGATGTTTGTAAGTAGCGAGCGCGACGCCGCAGAACCTGCACTCCGACCCAAAGATGTGCACCGTGCTGAACTACGTGATCGGCGCGTGCGCGGCTCTGATGCTCTTCGGTCTGCTGTACCTGTTCATCGGTATGGCGAACCGCGCAGCTCAGAGGAAGGTCAACCGCGAATTCGTCGAGGAGCAAAAGGACGCCGCGCCCTCCGCCGTCGCTGACTTTTACGAAGTGCGCGTGAACGACGCGGCGCAGCCGGACAGGCGAGCCGCGCCGCCGCCGGCGCCGCGCATCGAAGAGATCTAGCGAGGCAAGCCTCGCGGCGCGCGCTAGCCGCAGAGTCAGCGCAACAACTCGCGCAACGAAACAATCCTCGGCCAAAAGCTCGAGCAAGCGAGAAGCGTTTTTCGTGTGAGGAGAGACCGAAAGTAGATGCGGCGCGAAAATCGCACGCCGATTCGTCAAATAAACACCGAGCGTACAGAGTGATTGCATTGCATCGCGCCCGATGCACCGAGCAGCCGCTCGGCTTCGGCGCGCACAGCTGCCACCCACGCTGGCGAGCTGCACTGCACCCGCGGGAAACGCGTGCGCTTTGCACTGACGGAGCGCTGCGGCTAGTCGAGCGCGATGCAGAACACGTTGTTGGCCTCGGTAATGACGCACAAGTGCGATCCGACAGGATCGAACGCCACTTGCGCGACGGGTTCTCCGACCGAATGCGCAAAGAGCAGCTCCGCACCGGAGTCCGCCCACGTCCAGCCAGCAACCTGTCCTTCACGAGAGCCGGTGGCCAGCACGCTAGTTTTCTGCGGATGCCACGCAACGCACGAGATGCTGAGCGCCTCGAGCGCGTCGAGGGCAACAGTGGCGTCCTCTGCAGCGGAGTAGACGAAGAGTTTGGCGGGCACGCACAGCACGCTGACGAGCGAACCGTTAGCGTTGCTCGCAATTTCGTTCACGGCGTACAGTTCGCTGTACGCGGAGTCCGCGGGCAACGGCAGCGCGCCGAAACGCGTGGCGACCGCTTTTTTATAAAACGCTCCGCGGTACTCGGTGCCGAAAAAAGTCAACTGCTCCGTCTCGCAGTACGCGGTCAGCGGCTCGGATATCAGCGAGCCCTCCAGCTTGCGGACCTTCAGCAGCTGCAGCGTAGTGACGCACTCGAACTCGAAGACCTTGCCTGTCTCGTTTGCAGCGAGTAGTCGGTCCTCGAGCCGCTGCAGCGCGACGATCGGCTCGGCGCTCTCAGTGCTGAGTCGCTGCACCGGAAAGCGGGAGTCGAAGTCGAAGAGCAGCAGCGCGCCGCGGGTCGTGGCCGCCAAAAAGTGCTGCTTGCTCAATTGCGAAGACGCGAAGAACGCCACCACGTCGAAGTCGGTTTCGTAAACGGCGATCGAGTTGTTCTGCGTTTTCGTGTCGACGCAGTAGATCAGCGACCTCTCGGCCGCAAACGCGAGCGCGAGCGAGCTGCCGAAAAACGCAGCGCCGCGGAACTGCAGCGTCGGCTTCGCAGTGTACACAAGCCGCACGCGCGGCGCCGTAGACAGGCGGTCTGCCAGCCCTGCCGCGAACTGCAGCGCGCTGTTCTGCTCGAGCTCCTTGTACACGTGAATGCGCGAGAGCGCCGTGTTCAAGAAGTTCTGCACTGCAGGCGACTCCAGCGCGTCCAGCCGGTCGTGCACCCAAGCCGGACGCGCGCTGGTCCCGAGCTGCGCGGTAAACTCCGGCGCCGCGCCCGCGGGCTCCGCCGCCACCGCCTCGGCGCGCGCAGTGCCCGTCGGGCCCAGCGCCTCCAAATAGCTCAAGCACTTCCGCGCAGCTGCCTCGTCTCCTGAGTGCGCTAGTTCTTGCGTCAGCAGCGCCTCCAGCTCGTCGCGCCTGCGTTCGATGTTCGAGCGCAGTTCCTGCAACACGGGCAGCAGTTTCTCAGACATCGACAGATCTGTGCAAACGCCGTCGGACGCTACAGGCTATATGCCGCTAGCTGCCGCGCAGCCGCTGTGCGAGTCACGAACGCCATTTGATAAAAATTAAATTCAGTCACGCTGCGCCTGCTGTTGGCTGTTGCGAGCCTTCGCCGCAGCGCGCATCGCCTTCTGGTTCCGCCGTGTCTCTTTGTACGCCACGCGCGTCAGTTGTTGCATACGCCGCAACTGCGCATCCGGCACGCCGATCACGTCCATCAGCGGCGGCTGGAAGTCGAAGTCCGTCAACGCGCTGCCCTCCGCGGAGACCGCGTCTAGCGGGATGTTCTGGTTGTCCACCAAAATTGCCTGCTCGCGGCAACGTGCACTTACCTTCTGCATCTGGTTCGGCTGCGCCCAAATGGGCACCACTACGCGCGTGCCTGAAAGGCTCACGACGCCCACGCGGCGGAACACCTTGTCTAAAACGACCTCGGAGTTATACTTCATCAGTCAAGTCTAAATTTTTGCTTTTTCAACGTGCAGTTCTCGTCAACATTATGTAACACGCGCAACATTTTCGCGGCCTCGTGGGCGGCATGGCGCGCCGCCACGCAACAGCCCCGCGACTGCGCAGCGCTGCTCAATTCTTTGTATTTAATTCTAGCGAGATTATTGCCGAAACGCGCACCGACCAATTCTCGCACGCCCGCAAACGCCATGCACACTCGGCGCAATCAGAGCGTGTGTGGCAGCGCGTCGGCGGTTGCGCTGTCAGCCCGCGCGCGAGCTAGGCCCGATCCGCGCAGCGCCGGCCCGCAGTGCGCGGCTGCGGACTTGCGACGTGCGCCCCCGTTCCTCGCGCAGCTGATACCACCAACTGGCGCGCGCCGGCTCCCGTCTGCGCAGTTCGCTGCCCCGCAGCTACTGCAACGTGAGCTCAACGCGCGCGACCGCAACCTGTCCGCTGCGCCGTCACAGCGCTGCGCCGTGACGCTTCCCAGTCGACCGTACCCGCCGCCGACGTACAGCCAGCCGCTGCCGCACAACTTCGCCGGGCTTTGCTTCGTGCTCGACGGCGGCCGCGGGGAACACTTGGAACTGCACGCGGACGCGCTGAACAAAATCCTCGTTTGCCTCTCCGAGCGCTTCCGTCAGCTCTCCGTCTTGAAAGAGCACAACTACCTTGGCATGAACGCCGAACGCGTCGCCGCGACTTCTTGGGTCACCAGCCCGCAGCTCGCCGAGAAACTGGTCGCGTATTTGGACAGACAGCGCCCCGCCATCGAGCATCTCGGCGCCGACGCGCCGCTGCGCGCGAGCCACGACTGTGCAGCGCTGCAGCCGATGCACGTCTGGACGCTCGGGCTGCAGTGTCTCAACTTGTGGTTCGTGCTTGCGCGTATGCTCGGCTCGCTGGAGCACGTGCTCGCCGAGCCAGCCAACCAGGCCGCGCAACGCTCACCGCCCGCGCTGGACATCATTGTCAAAGACCCGCCCACCGTACAGGCGCGGGCCGTTGGACGACCCAAGCAAATCAAGTGCATCTCCATCGCGCAGTTCGCCGACGCCCACGTCGCGCAGATCAACTTCGCGCGGCTACTGCAGAAAAACAGCTTGCCTCTGCTCGCAAAGCTGCAAGATCTGTTGCTCTTCTCATTGCAAATTTTCGGTCCGCTGTTCGCTCAAGCGATTGGCAAGCCGAACGACTCGCACGCTGAGCGCGGCGCGTTTCTTTACTCCAAAGCGGCAGAGGCGCGCCTTGCGTTCTACAAAAATGCGACCGACGCCGATGCTGCGGAGTCCGCCGCCCAGACGCGCGGCGCCAAGCGCATCGCGCAGCTCGCTGCCGCGCACGCGAAAACGCACTCCACTGCCCGCAGCGCCAGCGCAGAACGCACGCTGCAGTGCATTTCGGCTCTTTACGAGATTTCAAACACATTACACGCTCTCGAAGCGCTAAGCACTCCGCTCCAGCAAGCGCTCGACCGATTCGCAACCTCGGCACTGCTGCAGTCCTTCGAAGCGTCTTGCGTCCTTCCCGCGACAGCTTCCTCCCCAGTGCAGCAGATCCTCGCCGAGATGTTGCTATTTTACAGAAACAGCGTCTCGAGTTTGCGCGACACGCTGTACCAGCCGCTGATGCATCTCGTCTGCGCGCTGTTCAACAGTTTCGCGCGGTTCGTGACGCGAGTCGTGTTTCCAAGCACGATGCGCGGCTTTTCGTTGTTGCTCGAATGCATCATGCCGGAGCGCGCGCACATGTTCACGGACTTCCGCGCCGCAAACGCCGCGCTGCTCTTCTTGTTCGACCTCGTGAACTATGTCGGACACAAACTCTCGCTCGACGTGCTTCCGAAAGCCACGCTGCTCACGCTGAGCGACTCGCTGCTGTACTTCGCGTACGGTCTGGCCGTGATCCTCGCTCGCTCGCGCGGCTTCGTCACAGACTACGCCACAGCATTCCCCAGCGCCGACTGGCCTGCTGACTTCGACGATCAGCGCTTTCTGGCTTCGGCGTTCGCGCGCGTCCCAGAGCTGCGAGCGCGCGGCGCACTCGGCCTCCTCGCCGACAGCGAACTGGCGCGCTGCCGCTGTCCGTTCGAAGTCAGCTACTCGTCAAAGGAGTGCGAGTTCGAAGATTACGAGTCAGCTGCGTCTGCCGCGCCGAGCTCGCAAGGACTCATGCTCGAGCACGCGAAAGACTTGCTGTACATTTGCTGCAACATTTTCCGAGGCCTGGCGCGAATCCGGCCCGAGTACTGCGCCACATTTCTGCAGGAACGCCGCCTTATCGTAGATCGCATTATTGCGCTCTCCAGAATGCAGTGCTTCTTCGAACTGCACGAAGTCAATCCGCTCGACAAGGAGTACGAGTTTACGCTGCGGAACGAGTTCTTCGACCTGCGGACCGTGCTCGGCGCAGGTTAGCGCTCGCGAGCGCTGCAACGAGAGTGCAGCCGCTTTTTTCGATCGAACTAGATCCCGCGCACACCGCAAATGTCGTCGGCGCTCCCACTGATTCTCGGTCTTCTATTCGCCTCCGCAGCCGAAAACCTGCGCGCGAACGCGCTGCCCTCGCATTACGTGAGCGAGGCGCTGCAAAAGTTGCAGCACAGCGAATCGAACGCGTACTTCAAACAGTCGCGCGACTCGGCAACTTTGGCCTTCCTCAGCCAGTTCCACTCGCTGCCCTATGCGTACGACCCAGCGAAACCCGCGCCCAACTCCAAGTTCTTCCCGGCCTTCTACGGCTACCCCAACGTGAACGTGCGCAGCCCCTACGAGCACCCGCTCGGCGCGTACATCACGAGCTACGACTCCGTGCTGCAGCTGCTCAAGCCAAAAGGCTACGAGTAGCGCGCCGGAAATAATTCCGCATTAAAGAGCATTTAGTTACTGAAAAACACGCTCACCGCGCCCATGAGCCAGCAAGGCCATGCTACTCTGCTGAGTCAGTTTAAAGGTGAGTCGCTGCAGCGCGAGCTCAGAGTTGTGCGCTGAAGCGGACCCCGACTTTCTAGTCGGCCTCGAAAACGACGACGTGTTCAAGTGGCAAGTGACTTTGATCGGCCCCGAAGCCACGGTGCTTGACGGTCTACTCGTCACAATGCTCATCGTGTTCCCTGAAACGTTCCCTTTTCAGCCGCCCAAGGTGCAGTTCAGTGCGCCGCTGTTTCACCCGAACGGTAAGTTCGCGCTGCCGCGCCGCAGTCTACGCCAGCGGCGAGCTGTGTTTGAGCGTGCTGCACGCGCCGGGACTCGACGCGACCAACGAGTTTGAGTCTGCGGACGAACGGTGGCGCCCAATTCTCAGCGTGGAAGGCATCATTCGCTCGGTGCTCAACATCCTCATCGAGCCAAACGTTTACTCGCCCGCTAACTGCGACGCAGCCGTAAGTGTCTGCCGCGCCTAGCAGAACCTGTACAAGTCAGACTTCGAACTTTACAAGCAGAAGTTCCGCGCGAGCGTTTAGTCAGCAACTTTAACGGTGAAGCTTAGTCTGTTTGCTGCAGATCGTGCGCGCACTACATCTGCGAGCTTCGTGGCGCGATCGCACCGAAGCGCGCGAAACGAACTCCGCAACGACAGCGAGCGGCGCTCAATGGTCGGCGCTGCAGATTTATTGTGCAAAGTTGAACGTCGCAAACTGCTTCTTCAACGCAGCGCAGTCCCTTTCGTAGTCGGACAGCGGAGCGAACTGGTTCTGCAACGTGTCAAGGTTCTGCGGCGCTCTACAAACTGCACTTACCTGCGTCTTCAGCGTCTCGCGCACACTCGCAATTTCTGCATCGATCTTCTGTTCGTAGTTCTGGACGCTCGGGCTCGGCACGACGCGTTCTTTGAGCGCCTCGCTGTACGGCTTGTAAAATTGAAAATTTATGTGCTCGCTGGAATCACGTGTGTCGGACATGGTGTTGCGGAAACACGTTCTATTACAATCACAATCCCGGAATTAGGAGGGAACGCAGAAACTCTCGATCGTCACTATGGCCAAAAAAAGTGGGTTGCAAAAGTATTTATTCAGTATTAAGCGCGGCCGCTGTGCTCAGCGCGGTCGGAGCGGGAGAAGAAAATGCGAATCAGGTTTTGCTCACCTGGACTCCGACCTTCAAGTGCTTAGAAGGGTTTACGTTCGACGCGCGCAAAGAGATGTGTTCGTTGCTGGACCAGCGACAAGCGAAGCTCGGCTGCGAGTACGGCTGGACGTTTAAGGACGGTATGTGCACGACGCTGGACGAGGTGCCCGCGAAGTTTTCTTGTCTCGAAGGCTACTCGCTGAACCAACACGGGTTCTGCATGAAAGAGATGCGCGCGCCAATGACAATGCAGTGCCCACCTTTCTACCAGTGGACGAAGAACGGGTGCGAGCGCAAGATGGCCGCGAAACCGCTGTACTCGTGCGAGGTTGGCAACCGCTACGGCGCGCAATGCGAGATCATCTCGCAGAAGATGCCGTACAGCGAGTGTCCGAACGACTATAAGCTGATCAACAACTCTTGCGTGCACAAGCGGGTGAAGGAATTCGAGGCGCACTGCCCGTCTTCCTACGCTCTACGCGACGACTTGTGTGTGCAAGAAGAGGTTTTCAAGCCGGAGCTTGAGTGCCCTGCGGGTTTCATCCGCCGCAGCGGACGCTGCTTTAAAGACGTCGAGGTGCCCGTCGTAAAGGTGTGTCCCGCGGGGTACGAGAAGTTCGGCGACCAGTGTCGCAAAATGGCGCGCGAGCTGCCGTACTTCGGGTGTCCCGACAATTCGCATGCGATGGACGAAATGTGTCTCGACGTGAAGGCGGAGCGGCCGGTGTTCAGCTGCGACGACGCCGCAAACGCAGCGTCGCAGGAACTCGAGTGGGCGAGCGGCACTTGCTGTCCGAAGAACTACGTGCGCGTGTCAGCAGACTTGTGCGAGAAGCGCGAGTTGGTTCCTGCGACGCTACTGTGTCCGCGCGACACTGAGCTGGTGGGCGCTGAGTGCATCGGCACAGTATTCGTCGGCTTGGAGCCGACTTGCCCGCCAGACTACACGTTCAGCGCGAACGACTCGTGCACAGGCGTGCAGGTTGCGGAGCTGCTGAAAGTCTGCAAAGACGGAACCGTTGCGCAGGACAACACAGAAGAGTGCATTCGAGTACGAACGATTGAGCCCGAGAAGAGATGCAGCGAAGGCTTCTACAGCGAGGAGCTGGGCATTTGCTCGGTGTTCGACGTGTTAGAGCCGAGCACAAGCTGCGGCGACGAGAACGCGCAGCTCGTAAACGGACTCTGCGAAGTTACGACGTTGATGCCGGCTGACGCGCGTTGTCCAGAAGACTTCCATTTGACAGATAACATGTGTCACGGAGTGGTTTCGGCATACGGGCGCGAATTTTGTCCGACGCCGTTCATCCGCGAGGAGCACGAGTGCTACAGACTGGCCATCGACAAGCCGGTGCTGGCGTGCAACCAGGGCGAGTTGCGCAACGCCGCTTGTCTAGTAGAATTGGCGGAGAAGCCCAAGATGTTGTGCGACCGAGGCTACGAATTCGTAGAAGAGTACGGCAAGTGCGTGAAGCTGTTGATGATGCCTGCGGTGAAGCAGTGTCTGAACGACGGCTTCTACGACCCTCAGGTGCACCAGTGCTACAAATTCGTGAGCGAGAAAGAGCTGGCAGACGCGCGATTGGCGAACAGCAATTCAGGGATGTACAGCGCAGACGGCGATCTAGACCCGCGCTACTCGTTACCGACTGCAGGCGCTGCGCCGGGCGACATAGCGAGTCCCGTGCTCCCGGACGCACCAGCGCTTCCGATCAACCCACCGACGCCCGCGCCAGATGAGCGCGCGCGCGACGAGATGGAAATTGTAGTGCTGAAGCCGCAGCTGAAAGACGTGGAAGAATTTTTGCCGACCGAAGAGTTGGTAGGTCGCGAGGCGTACGCGGACGTACAGAACTGGATTCGGAACAGGAGAAAAACTAAATTAGTTGATGTTTAACAGACTACGCAGCGGGGAGCCGTACAACGCGGATTACTCGGCTAGCGGAATTTCGCGGGCGGCGTTCGCGGCCTTGCTGAGCTTGACCTCGACGTGCGTCTCGTCGGTGGGCGCCTTGGGCACGAGGTGCTTCATGGGCGAGCAAATTAGTTCGATGTGGCACGGGTGGCTGCAGTAAGGCGTGACGCGGCCGTGTGCACGGAAAGTGCGGCGGCGACCTTTCGCGGCGCGCTGTACGACGATGTGCGAGATGACCAGTTCGGCGGGGTCGAGTCCTTTAGCCTTGGCGTTGGCCTCGAGGTTCTGAATGAGCGCGAGAATGTTTTTGGCAGACTTTTCGGGCCAGCGGCCTTGCGTAAGCTTGAACTCCTTAGCCTGCGCAGTGCGGCCGACGCCGTCGTTGAAGCGGGTGAAGGGGATGCAGCGCTTTTTCTCAACGACTGCGGTCAGGTACTCACGCGCGTCCAGTAGCCGGCGGCCACGAACGGCGGCGGCTGTCTGATGCGTGTTTTTGAACGAGCATTTGACGTTGTCAGCGCGAGCGCACACCGTCCTCTCGACGTTCTCGCTGACGATTTTGCAGTAGTGGACCATAACGCTGGCTGGAAATAAAAAGATAATTAATTAAGACAAGAACAGTCAGCGGACTGCTGCGGTCGGTGGCGCGGCGCTGTGTGCGGCACCGAGCGAACGCGTCGCCGCGCGGCCGCGACGCGTTCCGAGCGAATATGCGGAAGCCACTGCCGATTTCAGACCAAACTGGCTGTAAACACGTAACGTCAATTTAATTTGCTTGCTTATAAATCTAGATCAATATCCGTTCGGTATCCGCGAGGAATGCGCGCTTAGCGGACGTCGGTGACGGAATCTGATTTGAGAATGAGCAGCGCCGCGAGCTTTTTTGAAGTGGTGCGTTCGCGCGAAATTGAGTCGATCTGCGCTTTCTTGAGTGCAGCGGCGCCGGACGCGCCGCGGTTCTTGGTGCTCAGCGGGCCGCCGGGCACTGGCAAATCCGCGAGCGTGAACTGGGTGCTGCAGCACAAAGCGCCCAAGGCTGCCTATGTGCAAGGCATCGATTTCGTCGAGGAACGGCGAAGCGCGTCGCCAATGCAGAACCCGCAGTTCGCGAAGGTGGTCTACGCGCTGCTGCGGCTGAGCTGCGGCGAGGCAGCATCGGAGCTACTGGACAAGCTTCAAAATCGCACAAGCATCATTGAAGTCTTCGCGGCGCTGAGCGGCCTGCTGCAGTCGGGCCGTGGGCTCGCACTGATAATCGACGAAATCGACATGCTCAATAACTCCAAAGTGAGGTTTGACTTGGCGGAGAGCAACAGCACGACGTTCTACGAGCTTTTCTTTCTGTTGAGTCTCGGGTTTTTGACCGAACTGAAGCTTGTTCTCGTAACGAACGACACGCAACAGCTAGACAAGGTCAAGCACTGTCTGTTCGAGTTGCAACGCAGTTTCGCTGCGCGCTGCGGTGCTGCGGCCGAATGCAGAAACGTTACGAACTTCGTCAGCAACGCGAACGCGCTAGTAAGAGAGTTGGTTTTCGCGCCGTATGACTATGCACAGTTGCTGCAGATCAGCCAACGGCAATGCCCCGAGTTCGCGACCGATAAGAGCGTCGAGTTCGCGGTTCGCAAGCTCGCCGCAAAGCACGGCGACTGCAGGCTCTTGCTAGACTTTCTGAGCCGACTGCAGGCTAATGTCGGCAGCGCTTCAGCGAACCCGGGCTCCGACGCGGACGCGGACTCCGAGTATTCTTCATGCAGCAGCGCGGTTAGCATCAACACCGTAATGAACATCTTAGGCACTGACTACGAGAACGAGACCTGCGTCTTCTACAAATCCATTTCCGATCTGACCTACTACGAGCAGTGCATCGTCGGCTGTCTGATGAGCATGACGTTCCAGGCGAAGTGTGAGACTTTTCTGTCATTCGACCAGTTCTATTTCGCATTTCGCTCCTTCACCACCAAGCTCGGCATCCATCCTGAAGACGCGTATGAAACGCTCTCCCGACTAAAGGACCTCGCGTGTAGCAAGATAATTACGCTACGTAGCAAGCACGATGAGAGCGCGAACTATTTGAAAACGCGCTGCACCGTTAGCAAGGGCTGCCGCAGGTTCGGCCTAGTGCGCAGAACGGGAGCGGCCGGCCGCAGCGCCGCCACACCTGACAAACTTGGCGGGAAACCGCTTATCAGTAAGTTGTGCGCTGCGCTACGCAGAATTCAATTTAACGCTTAAACAGATGGCGTTGCTGCACAGCAAACTCGTGAAAAACTTCACGGTTTTTCGCTCAGTCGTTATTATATCTGCATAACAAGCCAACAGCGTTTCAGGCCAAGGTGAGCGTTGCGCAATGCGCTTCGGCTCGCTGATCTGCCGAATTTCAGCAGTGTTCTGGTGCCTTGCGCGGGAAGCGCCGTGCCCTAACGGATTTAGTCAGTTAGATGAGTTTTTCTGCATCACAGACGAGTTTGCGCTTCAGCAACCGCAGCTGAGCTGCGAAGACGCCGAGATGGTTTTCGACGCAGCGCTCATGCGTTGCGTAAAAACCACCGTTGACAGAGGACAGATCGTGTGTCCTCGCGGTCATCTGATGAAGAATGGTACGTGCCGTAATGCTGAAAAATTGCCGACAATACCAGTCTGCAGAGACGGATTCATTATGCAAAAGAATGTCTGTCAGAAGAGAGCATTCAAACCGCCCATTTGGGGTTGCCGCGAGGACGAAGAGGAAGAAGACGACTACTGTATTGAGTTTTCACAAGCCGAGCCCCTAATCGCTGAAGCTGATGTCGTACATCCTTTAGTCGAGAAGGACATAAACACTGCAGAATTACTGCTGCCTACGACTAAAGGCATTAACAGCGATTCCACAAAGTCGCGAGAAAACATCCAGCTTCAGAACATATCCACGGAAGATCGCAGCTTCGCTGCCGACTGCGGTGAAGTCGAGCCGCGCTGTCCTGAGAAAACGTTGGAGCTAGTCGCGTGGCAGCGTAAACACCCTGGCAAAGCATTAGTGCGTTGGGAAAAATCTCTTATTGGATACGAAACGGTTTGCGTAGCATCGCGCAAGAAGCGAAAAAGCCTGCAGTGCAGCAGCGCCTCGGACGATTTATTCTATTCTCGGCGCTTGACGTTGCCTGACCCCGATGCGCTGCTTTACAGTCCATGTTTGCTGCGCGAATTTTTAAAAACAAGTTCTGAACTTGACAGGGAACAGATCGCAGAACTACATCAGTCTGTCAGCAGCGCCGCAGCTCTTTGCATGCGAAAACCTGATGAGTACCATCTACTAAATTCGAACGACGCAGAGCTCCCGAAACTCAAAAGTGAATTTCTAGGCGCTTGGCAGTATTTCGCGACGCGAAACGAACTGCATATTCCGCTCTGCGTGACAATTGACTCCGAAAAGCCGTTGATCGGATGCCAGTCCGGATATGTGCTAACTAATGACTTGTTCTGCGAGCCAGTGTACGACGAGCCACCGCTACTGAACTGTCCTTCAGGCGGGTCTGTGCTCAAAATTGACTATGCAAACAAGTCATTACTCTGCTCTGAAAAAATCACCGCATCTGCTACTCTCGTCTGCCCCGACGGATGCACGACACTGGAGTCGCTGTATATTTGTGTGTGCAAGTTTCAACTGAAGTTGCAGACTAGGTATGCGAACGCAATAGGGTCTACGTTCACGGACTTCTGTTCAGAGAAATCCAAATTTTGCCAATACTTAAACGCACTCGTAATAGATCGAAGCACCTTGACCGAATCAGCTGTAAATGGCGAAACCCAAAAACTTGCTAGTGAACGATTTGGTCGCGATTTCCCGACCGTTGGCAGCGAAATTGTATTGACAGGTTGCAATGAAAACGGCGATGCGAGAAAAGAGAGATGTTTCTCAAGCTATACCGAGGCTTCGTTCAAAAACACACTGTCAGAATTTTTGGTGCGCCGACAACACGATATCGCTCGGCAGAAAATAAGCAGCGAATTTTGCGCAGCCGAGGACGAGTTGCTCAAGGTTGCGTCTATCCTCGACGATCACTTCTACGCAGCTTGGGTAGCGCGAGTCAAAACACACATAGAAGCTAAAACTCGCGCTGAAGTTCAAACTCAGCTTAGGTTGCTAAGAACTCCGAAAAACTAATAGTTGCTGGTACAAGATTCAAAATGAAGTGCATAAAATTGGCTTAGCCGACGCTTCTCTTCTCATATTCATTGATGCCTGAGCATTTGCCTTCCCCTTTGACGAACGAAGCGCTCAGGAACCATGTGCTCGAGTACGCTGGGTTTACTCGGTTCGACGACGAATGTTTGACCTCGACCTGTTGCGTAAACCTAATGATCGCCTCTCTACAAGGCGAGAACGACAGCACGTGCTACGACTCGGAAGATCTGATTCTGCTCCGCTTCTCCGGCTATTTAATTTTGGAATCAGCAATGTTTCCGACAGCTCTCAGAAACTGCGGCTCGTTGCTGAGTGTACTCAAGATAAATTATTCCTCTAGCAGAGTTATCAGCAGCTCGGGAGTTCGCTGCAAGTCATTGGAAAAGTTTCGGTCTACGTATTCTAGCAGCGCTCTAGGGCACTTGCTACGCGGCATCAATACCGCCAGAAGAATTGAGCAGATTGTCGGCGCTCCAGTTGCGCAGTACAGCGGACTCGTGCTACTGGATTACAGCATTTGCGATGAAACTCTTAAACAGACGCTGCAAGCTTTCAACCCTAAGATTCTGCGGCTAGATACATTGCAAAAAACAGTTGGACGAGATCGCTGCCGTTCGCGGCGTAAACGAACAGACTATGAAAACGGCTGCACAACTCTTTTCACTGCTGCTTCACTGGGGCACGCCTACGCGGCTTCGCTTGAAGCGGTTCGTTCCGCCGTATTCCGTGCGATTAGTGCGCGCAGTCGCCGGCTTCGAGTTCTGATCATGATCGGCTTTGTCTACCGTCACCTAGTGTTTGCGGCTAGCAACGAAGCCTCATCAGGGCCCCTTCGGCAATCTACACCCATAACGAGACATGGCAACCCCCACCAACGGGACTTCAGGTCATGTGAAGAACTGAAGCGCGAACATTCCGACCCCGTGGCGACGAACACTGCGCTGTCGCTGCCGGCACTACGCGTCTTCGCTGGACCGATTGCCCTATTCTCGCGACTGCGGATGCGCAGTCTTGCAATTTTACGTCTACAAATCAGCGACAGCGATTTGCAAGTCTATCTGAAAAACCGATGGCGTCTGCAGCTGCTAGGTCAACTAAAGCGGTTAGAAATACAGATTTACTCAAAAAGCGATGCGCTAGCTAAAGCAGAAACTTGCAAACTGTCAAATCCGCGAGTCAGCACACTTCGGCTACAAGCCAGCAGCGCATGCGCTCTACAAAACTATGCAAGTGCGAGCCACTTTGCGTTTGCTCAGTTGTCATGCTTTACGTCGAACTACTGCGTGCCGGCACTATCGAAATCGATAGAGTTGCCGGCAACGCTTCGACATCTTACCCTTGAGGAGCATTTTCCCGACGAGCAACCTGGAGACCAGGCTGGTGAGCAAGCTAGAGAGCAGGCTGCAGAGCAAGCCAGCGCATGCGCTCTAAACACGACTGCAATACTGTTTGCCAAACTGCAGCAACTGACGCACTTCTGCGCAGATTCAGGCCTGCTATCTTCGCTCAGTTCGGCAAAGGAAGGTCTGCTGCAACGACTCGGGTCTGCACTATTGGTGCTTTGGCTCAAAAATTGTGACCATGTCACCGCTGCGCCTTTGAAGCAGCTGCTAGGTCGCAACGTAGCGCTAAGAACTTTGATTTTAGAGAACGTAGAATTGGATGGGAAACTGCTCGCAACACTCGGTGCTTCGCAGTCGCTTGATCAACTAGTGCTTTTCTGCAGCGACCACAAACTGCGCACAGAGCGCAAAGCGTCGGTCGGAGTGCGCAAGTTGATTCTCTGCTCCATCTCACACCGATTCGCGGAAAACTTGTGTTTCGGCGACCTGTACCGTTGCTTTCCGTGCTGCGAAGAGCTGGTTTTGATACCCTACTTTAGAGACTCGCGCAGTCTAGAGCGCGGCACGAACCTGCTAGACGCCGACTCGTGCGCAGCGTTGCCTACGCTGCTGCGCAAAAACTTCCGTCTGCGCATCGGGCGGAACGACGCGAACGCGGGCATCGTGAGCGCGTGGAAAGAGCGATTGCTTGGAAGCACCTTGCACCTCGCAGAAGAGAGCAGCGCAGAGTTCCGCTGCCATACGTTCGAGCTGCCTAAGGCGGCTAGCCGTTGCTTGCCATGGCACTACGGCGACACGAGCGTGGCCGGCGGCCAGCTCGGCGCATTTTGCGAGTTTTGCGCGTTGACTGCTGATCCGGAGCGCTACTTCGCACGCAGGCTGCGCATCGAGGCGTACCTTAGCGTGCGCGCTTCTTAAGCGGATGGCGGTCGCGCTAAGTGCCGGGGTCGCGCAGCCTAAAGTTGGAACACGAGAGCAGAGTATTTTTTATCTCTTAATTACGAGCGAACGGCCTGCGGGCGAGGAAAGCTCTGGCGAAAATGAACCACAACCGACGGATGCACAGGGCAATGCGGCTCCCGATAGTACGTTTTCGCGGCGTGCACACAGAACGAGCTGTTTAGCTTTTTTACGCAGCAGTGCGAGGTCGAGATTTGGCTAGAGCATCAGAAGAACATGCGACTGCGCGGCGTGATCAAGGTAGGTAGGCGCGCGCGCTACGCAGGGTTTCGACGAGTTTATGAACGTTGTGCTGGCGGACGCGAAATTGGTCGTCTACGACCGCGCACGGTTGGAGAGCCACCCGGTGAAGGCGGAGAGCGCGCTCGGGCGCATGATGGTGAAGGGTGAAAACATTGTGCTGGTGTGCGCGGCGAACCAGTGTTCCGCGTTCACCGCCGCGTGAGCGCGTGGCGCGAATTTTGTCTCGTGTTTTCGGCGGTTCCGCACATGTGCGTCAATATAGTGCAAAATATTTGTCATGTACCTGCGTAATGAAAAAAAGCGCTAGCCGCACTGAATATAAGTCTCACAGTCTCGAGCGCGAGCAGTTGCGCTGCATGGGCAGTGAATACTACGCGAACATCACCGCGACTCTCAGCGATCTGTACAAGCGAAAGGCAAAACCGATCGAAGAGGACTCTGCGTTCGCCGAGTTTGCAACGCCCGCGCTGACGGAGGGGGACTTCAAAGGCAACCCGATCATCTTTTTGTTGGGGCAGTACAGCACGGGCAAAACGACGTTTGTGAAGAACCTGCTAAACGTGGACTACGCAGGTTTCCGCATTGGGCCGGAGCCGACGACCGAGAACTTTCTGGTGATCAACTGCGAGCACGGCGCGAACAAGGGCGTGACGCTGGGACAGGCCGCGGTGCTAGACCCGGCGAAGCCGTGGAACCAGCTGGCGCAGTTCGGCGAAGGCTTTTTGTCGCGCTTCCAGATGGTGACGGTCGCGAGTCCGCATTTCCGCAACTTGACGTTGATCGACACGCCTGGAATATTGTCGAACATGAGCAGCGCACAGCGCGGCTACGACTACGAGGGAGTGGCGCGCTACTTGGCGCAGAAGGCGGACTTGATTTTGTTCTTCTTCGACGGCTTCAAGTTGGATCTCAACGCAGAGGTGTGCGCGTGCCTGAACGCGCTAAAACGCTTCGAGGGCAAGCTGCGCGTGGTGCTGAACAAGGCGGACGCCGTCTCGAGTGTGCAGCTGGTGAAGGTGCTGGCGACATTGATGTGGAACCTGGGCAAAGTGATCCACACGCCGGAGCTGCCGAAGATTTACGTGGGGTCTTTCTGGAACGTGCCATACAAGCCGCACCCGCTGGTGGAGCTGTTCTCGACCGACTCATGTTTGCTCTACCACGAGATCGTGTCGCTCGGAAACGCGAGCATCACGCGAAAACTGGACGACTTGGTCCGGCGCTTCAACGCGGCGCACGCGCACGCACTGGTGCTCGCGCACATTCGAATGCAGACTCCGTACTTTCGCAAGAAGCGGTTCATCGCGGGGCTGGCAGCGGAAGTGGTGGCGGTGCGCAAACGGTTGGCCGCGGAGTACGGCTTCTCGGAGGACGTGTTTCTCCCAGAGCAGCGCTACGTGGAGCTCGCGGAGCTGGTGTACAGCGCGCCGGCGCGGCTCTCCGCGCGGAAGCTTGCAGCGAACTACCAGAGTCTGAAGCAGAAGCTGACACAGCTCTCGGCGTTCATCCACGCAGAGTTTGCAGAGCGCAGCGACTTTATCGAGCTAGACTCGGTGGCGAAGCCGATGCTTTCGCGGCAGCTAACCGGCGCGGGCGCGGCCTGTGTGGCGAAGTTGTCGGACTTCGAAAGCGACCAGCGCATGGTGGCGGCGCTGGAGGACGGCGAGCTGACGGCGTCGCCGATCAAAGCGTCGCGCACGCGGAGCGTGGACGTGCAGAAGTACATTTAGCTAGCGTCGGCGGGCGCGACGAGGAAGACAGCGACGCACTCGAGCATCTGCGTGAGCTCGTCGTCGGCGAAGCGCGTCTCGTAGTCGTGCAGCGCGGAGCAGAGCTCAACGAGCGAGCGTGGAGCGAGGTTCGCGATCAGCAGCAGGTCTTTGCGGGAGAGTTGCGCGAAGTGTTGCGCTAGCAGCGCCAGGCACTCCTCCATAGCGGCGACACTCTGCCAGCGCGGCGCGTTGGCGAGCTGCTCGAGGTACGCGACTGGTTGGCGGGCGGCGTGACTTACTCCAGTCGGCGTGCGCTGCGGGCGCGCGCTCGCCGTCGAGTTCGCTCGGCAGGTCCGCGGGCAGCGTGAAGCGGCTGCGGCGCAGCAGCTCGAGCGCCTCGAGGTCGGTGAGCGGCTCGGCGGCGAGCAGCAAGAACTTCATCGCCGAAAAGTATTTATATCTCGTAATTGCGGGAATGGAGTTGGAGGAGGAGAGACTCAATGACTCTGCGCGGGTGTGCAACCAGACGCGGTTGGCGGAGCGGAAGGCGCAGCGCGCGCGGAACGTAGGGTTATGCCAAGACACGCGCGCGACACTGGACGGCGTGCTAGACCCGCGGACGCTCGCGATTCTGCAGCGGCTGCAGAGTCGCGCGCAGTTCACGCACGTGAACTCAGTGGTGAGCACCGGCAAGGAGGCGAACGTGTACGTGGCGGCGGGCTGCGTGGGCAGCGCCGAGCAGCGCGCAGCGCGGCTAAGCGCGGTGAAGGTGTTCAAAACGTCGATTTTGACGTTTCGAAACCGCGCGCAGTACGTCGAGGGTGAGCGGCGCTTCCGACAAGGCTTCGCGAAATGCGCGAACCCGCGACGCATGGTGAACCAGTGGGCGGAGAAAGAATTCCGTAACCTGCGACGTTTGGTCGACGAAGGAGTGCGCGTCCCGGCGCCGTTCGCACTGAAGAGCCACGTGCTGCACATGGCTTTTTTGGGCGAAGACTTTCACGCGCCGGCTCCGCGGCTGAAGAACTTCGCGGCGGCGACGCGCGGCGAGTGGCTGCGGCTGTACGTGGAGGTGGCGGCGACGATGCGGCAGCTGTTCCAGCGCGCGAAGCTGGTGCACGGCGACCTGAGCGAGTACAACCTGTTGGTGTTCCGCGGGCATCCGTACGTGATCGACGTCAGCCAGAGCATCGACACGGCGAACCCTCGCGCACTGGCGTTTCTGGAACGCGACTGCGTGAACGTGACACGTTTTTTCGCGCGCAAAGTCGGCGACCCGCAGCTCAGCGCGATCGAGCCGCTCAGCGCAGAGCCGGAAAGCGAAGAAATCGACTTCGGCTTTCTGGCGTCTTCGGACGACGAAGCCGGCGGCGCAGCTTCCGACACTGTTTCCGACGCGGTCTCGGACAATGACTCTGCCGCGGTTTCCGACGCGGTCTCGGACAATGACTCTGCCGCGGTTTCCGACGCGCTCTCGGACAATGACTCTGCCGCGGTTTCCGACGCGCTCTCGGACAATGACTCAGCCGCCGCTTCCGACGCGCTCTCGGACAATGATGCTGCCGCGAAGTGCTGCGAGCGAGCGTCCGCGAGCGCAGCCGACCCCCGCAACGAATCTGTTGCGCACGTCGCGTTCGCAGTCGCACCTGAGCTCGAACAGCTCGAGCATCTGAACCTGCTCTCGGTGTCGGACTTGTTGCGCTACGCAGTAGACCCGAACTGCGATAGGGCGACGGTGCCCGAGGGCGCAGCGGAGGAGGTTGCCGCGCTGCGCGCGGCCTGGCCGGAGCACGACCGCGACTTTCGGCTGCAGCAGCTCGGCTCGCTCGCGGCGAGCCGGTGGCGTTTCGAGAAGCTCGGTCCGCTGTTCCACGACCTCAGCTCCGTTTCGGAGGTGAGTTTCGCAGGCAAGATGCAAGAGGTGCGTCCAGTTCGTGACATCTATGTGCCGGACGTCGACAGCGAGCGACTGCAGCTAGCGGTCGCAGAGCACAAGACGCTCTGCGCGAACCTGGCTGCGCACCTGCTGCGCTACGCGCCGCGTCCGGCGACTGAGTTGCCGCCCTGTCTGAGCACGAACCTGCCAAGCTCGTACCACGAGTTCTCGACGGACGACGTGCTGTGCGCGCAGCACGCGGAGAAAGCCGCGCAATACGAAGAGTACAGTCGCTTGCTGCGAGACCAATCGCGCGACGCGACGTCGGTTACGCGCAGCTCGCCGCGTGACGACAAGCGTTGCTGCGCGGAAACCGCGGAAGTCGCTGCGCCGCCTGGGAGCGGCGGCGAGGACTGCACTAGCAGCTGCGGCGAGCCGTGCCAAGCTGCGGACGCGGTTGCGTGCGGGCCGCGACGCTTTGACGGGCGCATCCCACCGGGAGCAGACCGCAAAGAGTGGAAGGCGCTGGTCAAGCGCGCGCAGCGCGAACGGCGCGCCGAAAAGGCGAAGAAAAAGGCGGCCGGCGGCCGAAAATGAAAATCCGCGTTTTCAAGTGATCAAATTATACAAATCGCGCGATGCGCTTGAGACTCTCGGTTCTCGCCTGGCTCGCGCACGGGTTCACGCCCTCGCCGAGTCCGTTTACCGACGTCAAGGACAAGGCGCGGAGCGCGTTTCTCGCACAGGAGTCGTTCGTGACGGACCTGCTGCTGCGCTACGCTGCGGACCCGACGCACTTCGCGAAGGAAGGCATCGTAGCGGTTCCGGTGAGCGAGGAGGAGAGCGACTTGCAGCTGCTGCTGAAGAGTCTGCTGATGGAGAAAGACGCGTCCGAGCAGTTCTACTCGGCCGCAAACTTCGCGGAGAACCTGATCAAAGAGTGGAGCGAGGACGCGAGCGACGCGGACGTAGACTCATGTAAGTGCGCGGCGCCGACACGCAGCCGTGCTCGAGCTGATGTGCGTAGAGGAGCGGCTGAACTTCGCGACGGCGATGCGCAGCACGCTGCTCGTAATGAAGAAGCTGACGCAAAACGCGATCGCGGTAAGTGCTGCGCGCCGCCACGCAGCGCCTGATTCACGCACTGCGCACCGAACCGCCCGCAGAGGGTGTCGCGGAAGTCGAGTACGACAAGCGCCCGCGCTCGCCGTTCGGTCTCGAAGCGCTGCAGGAGAAGCTGGAGCGCGAAGCGCTGAAGAAAGACCTGGCACGGCTGAAGCAGGCCGAGGAGACCGCCGCGCTCGGGCAGTCGGGCGACGTCGACGTCGACGAGGTGCTGCGCAACGCCAACAAGGCGCACAGCCCGGCCAGCTGACGCGCCGGCCGGCGCCGCAGCCGGCGCCGCGGCTGGCGCGGCGTGCTCACGCGGGAAACGCGTTCGCTGCGCGCGCGAGGTCGCAGTTTTGCAGCTGTCCGGGGTGAATCCTGTAGGAGCGGTCGGCTGGGTTTTGCAGAAGCGTCATCGGGTTCGGCCCCAACACCGCGGGCGCGGGCGGCAGCGGCAGGTTGGTGCGCGTGATGACGGTCGGATGGTCGCAGTAGCCCGCGGAGAACCGCGCGAGTTGCTTGAGCTTCTCGCGCTCGATGCGGAACTGCCGCACCTTCGCGACAATGTCCGCGAAGAGCTTGAGCAGCCGCACTTTGTGGCCGGGCAGCCACTTGGCATCGTTGAAAGTCTCAATCTCTTGCACGCCCTGCTGATCGATGGCGCAGAGCGTGTCGAGCGTGTCGAAGCCCGCCTTCACGAACTGCGCCGCGATCAGCGTCGGAATCTTGTAGTACTTGAAGAACTCGACGACCTGCAGCCGGTCTTGCAGCAGTTCGGAGCTCGCGAGCCACAGGTCCGCGAAGCCCTGCAGCGACTGCGAGTAGTTTTTGCACAAAAAGTCTACCACGAAGTAGACGACGTTGGCGGGGTCCTTCTTCGCAATTTCCTGTGGCGCGGCAAGCGGCAACGTACGCTTTCGAGAATCGCGAACAGACTGCGCACTTTATCGCGCTTGGTCTCGCTAGTCGGTTCGCGCGAGGGGTCCATATCACATGCAAAAGGTGCGCAGCCGAAAATTCGCCGCCGTCGCAGCGCTCGCGAGCGGCGCGAACGGTCCGGCCCAGCGCGAAATCTGCCGAGCTAGGAGCGCGCGCCGAGTCAGCGGCCACCCTCCGGCGCGCCGTGCGCTGCCTAGAGGTTCGACTAGAGGCTTGCTTCGGCGCTTTCGGTCTCCTTGACGGCGCTGAGAATTTTCTCGAGCTCCAGCCGCTGCTGCGTCAGCTTGCGGTCGGCAGCGGCGAGCTCGGCCTCGTCGAGCAACGGCGCGGCGGCGGGCGGCTGAGCCGCAAACGCGTCCACTGCGCGCTGCAGCTCGCCGAGCCGCTCCTGCAGCCCGTGGCTCGCGTCCAACGACTCGCGCAGCTCGACGAGCTGCTGCAGAAACGTCGCGCGCGAAGCGCCGCCGCCCGCGTGAATCAGCATGTGCTGCGAGACGCGTTCCAGGTGCACGACGGTCTGCAAGCACTTGTTTGTCAAGAACGTCTGCATCTGGATCAAGTTCTTCACGCGGTCCGCCGCGCGCTCCTGGAAACGCTTGCGGCTGCGGCCGAACGAGTCGTGCAGCTCCGAGAGGCTGTGCGAGAGTTTGCTGCAAAAAGCGAGTTGCTGCTGCGCGCGCAGCAAGAGGTTCGGGAAGCCGACCACCAGCTCCGGGTACAGCTGGCTGTCGCCGAGGTGTGCCATGCGCGCGCGCTCCGCGAGGTACGCCTCGCGCGCAAACGGCGCGCGGCTGCGGATCAGCTCCTCGGTCTGCGCCGTGCACGCCGCCGCAACCGCCGGCGACGGCGCGCGGCTCCACAGCACCGCCGTGCGGTTCTCCGCAGCCTCCTGCGCTTCGCGCAGCGCGTTCAGCCGCTCGAGCAAGCGCGTGAGCCCGTACAGCTGGCTCGTCGAGACGCTGAGCAACTTGGCGCACACCTGCTGTGCCAGCGCGCCCATCGGGCTCAAGCCGACGTACGCTTCCTGGTCTCGTTGGTTCATGCGCGCTTCCGCATTTAGCGATTCAAATTTCCGATAAAAAATTGCGCCGGCGCGCCGCCACGCGCCGCCACACCCCGCGGCCGCCGAGGCGCCGCAACTCGCTCGGGCCGCCGCGCGCGCGGCGTAAAACAAATTGCGATTATTTTTTAGCTGATTTAGCTCTGCGCTCGATCCTGCCGACTGATAGCTTGGTCCCGACTCGACCGCGCGCACCTCTGCTGACATGTAGCGCGCCATGCTTAACCCTTGCGGCTTGACTTTGCAACCGGTAGGTCGTATCGCGCGCGACGCAGAACGACAGTAGGGCGTTCCTCCGCGTGCTGAAGCGGCACCTGAACAAGCTCACGCGCGCCTCCTTCGTGCACATCGCGAACTCGCTGCTCGACAGCCTCGAACAGCTGGAGCCGATTGTGTGGGACGAGTTCCTCTGGCTGCTGCTAAACTACGGCTGCCGCTCGCACAGCAACGCAGAGCTGATCACGGACTTGCTGAACGTGATCTACCTGCGCTTCGTGCACGACGCGGAGCTCGCGCCGGCGATAGAGCGCGCGTTTGAGCGCCAGAAGCTGCGGCTCGCGCAGCGCGGCGCGGCGGGCGCAGGCCTCTCCGCGCTGCAGGCCGACTTGCCTGCGCAACACTCGTACAAGTTTCTGTACGAGATGGTCGTGGGACTGTACGCGCAAAAAGTGGTCTCCGTGCCGTTCGTGGCCTCGATGCTGGAGTTCCTGATCGAGAAGCGCAGCGGAGACGAGTCGTTCGCGGCGATCTTGAAGAGCTGCGTAGGCAGCCTCACCGCCGCGGGGCAGTGCCTCTCGCACTTCGTGAAGATCGAAAACTCGCTGCAGCTCTCTTCGGCCACCGCAAAAATGCAGCTCGTCAACCAGCGCTGGCACGCCACGCAGCCCGAGAGTCCGTACGGCTCGACCAAAGAAATCACGGAGTTCCTGACGAACGCGAAATTCCGCGGGCGCTCGCCGAACAGCGCGACCGCTGCGAGCACGACCGTCAAATTCGACAACCCCGTGAGCACCGTCACCTACTTTTTGGCCGAGTCCCCTTCTTCCACCGCGGACGAAAACTCGTGAGCGCCGCGTACCGCGGCCAGGTATTTCGAAATAATTGCTTTTTTAATTTGATCAAGTTCGGCGCCGCCCCATGCGCGCCACGTATTAACGCTGGAGCAGATGCGCAGTCGACTTCAGCAGGCCTGGTACCGCTACGTGCTGCACTTCCGCAGCGACCGCGCGTTCGCTGCCGCGAAGCGGCTGCGCAACTCGCGGCTGCTGCTGCTGCTTTTGCTGTG